GATTTCTCCACAAATACTCATTAGAAGAAACAGAAATGAAATGAATATCATAAAATTTACCGTATGCATGCAATGACAAATCTATTGCGAAAAAGTCTGACTTATTATATATCGAGGACTTCTAAAGAACCAAAAGAAGAGTATCAAAAGAAACTTGTCATGACCAATAGATGATGGATTTCACCTCATATACTAAATGAGAAATTTTGGAATAAAATTATCATTTACCTTCTTACCAGGAAAAACTAGCAGTGCATTTCTCCTCGATCTTGTTAAAATACGGACAATATGATCATCTGTTGGAAAGAAACATACAGAGGTTGCATTGAAAAATAAACATGGACTCTCTTGAAAGTATTATAATACATAGAATAATGACATAAAAGTAAGTAAAACAATTATTACGAGAAACCTAATGCATGCACTTCTATAGTTATCCCAGCTAGGCAAATGTCAGTCAGCAAGTCATTCAGTAAATACAAATTTCTGCAACCAGTCACATGTTGAGAAGAGATAGGCTACTTTTCCTTGCAAATGGTTGCTTTTCAGCCCACATGGAAAAAAAAAAGAAAATAAATAGCACCCTATAGAAAAAATTATAATGATTAAAGAATGACGATTTATAAAGCCTGAATCCAAACAATTGGAAAAATATGGGAACTGCTGCTCAGAATGATGAATAAAGTCTGATCCTCAAATGGAGAAGTTCAATATAAAAAGTGAACCCCTACAGTTTTCCTGAACATACTGCAATCCATCAAGTTGAAAAGAGGGCCAACATTACGATATAGGCTGATATGCATTGGCAGAAGTAATGTGTGCGGAAAAAAGAGCACAACAATATGAAATTACTAAATTCCTTTTAGCTGAATAATATAAAAGATAATACTATTTTTTATTTCAATTGGTAAATAGAAGAAATAATATAGGTGAAACAAGGCCAACAAAAATGGGGAAAATAGGTTGTAATTAATGTAATCAATTACAATAATTTCAGAATATAAAAACATAATTCCACACTAAGAAGATGTTCGTGGATTGCATATGGAAAACAGGCACTGCAATTGCTAAAGGCTTGTTTGGAATCACTTTTATTTTTTGTTTATATTTTATTTTAAAAATATATTTATTTATTTAGTGCATTTTTCATGTTTTTATTTTTTGCTTTTAAAAACAAATCAACTTGTTTATAAAAACACTCAAAGCATCTAAAAATTATTTTGAGTGTATAAGAAGATGTTCGTGGATTGCATATGGAAAACAGGCACTGCAATTGCTAAAGGCTTGTTTGGAATCACTTTTATTTTTTGTTTATATTTTATTTTAAAAATATATTTATTTATTTAGTGCATTTTTCATGTTTTTATTTTTTGCTTTTAAAAACAAATCAACTTGTTTATAAAAACACTCAAAGCATCTAAAAATTATTTTGAGTGTAATGTGGGCGTCAAACAGGCGCGGCAATTGTTGCATCCCAACTGAATCGACCCAAGTGTTGGAGGGGTCGATCAACCCTCCTTTAGCCTAGTGCTTGCCGCCAATGAGAGTGGGGCCCTCCCTAGTTATACTAGTACCTTATATTTGCTTTCATGATGTCTTAGGGTTCAATTTTTGTTGTGTATTTGTTTGGAACTACCGCCAACATCTTTATTTCCCGTCTAGGGTTGTACCCAAGGGTAGAGTGGTGCTCCGCTTGTATCTCGCTCCAAAGGTGGTGATTATCCTTCCCCTACCCTTCCTCATCCTTCCCACTTCGCTCCCCATCACCCGCTCTTGCAGCAGCCGCCCCAAACAACAACCCTTCGCAATTTTCTTGCAGTTTCCCACCTTCTAGCCACTTGTCCTCGTTACCGCCTCCCCGAACAACAATCAGTCCACCACATCCTTTGTCACTGCTACCATCATTCCCCCTCACTGTCGCCACCAGGACAGCAACCACACTTATTGTTTCTATAGCTTCACACTTCTACCTCACTGCTACCAACACCCCTTTGCTGTCGCCACACCTTCCAGCCCATAACCGGCATTGCTACCTCTCGAGAGCTCCAAAACCTAGCCGATCATCACTGCCACCCCACGAGCCACTGAGTTTGACTTTGTGTTGTCATTTATTGCAATTTCATATTTCCATTTTGTTGAGTTGTAGTTTCCTATTTGGTCTCGGTAATGATATGTGCTTTTCCCATCGTTGACGGTTAACTCGGTATCAAAGTGTTTTTAAAAACAACTAAGCAAGAATATACCAAACATGTTCAAGTAAAAACATAAACAAAACAAAATAAAAATTAAAAACAAAAAATAAAAATTCAAAGTCATCCCAAACGGCCTCTAAGCTTGAAGATTGTATAGCTTACAGCCTTTAATCAGGTTGAGCTGCAGCAGGGCAGAAAAAGCAAGCTAGCGTTAACTGTATGGAACACTTCAGGCAAGAGAGGCAGCAACTGGCACTGTATAAATACGATAGCAACAACAATGGGGCATCCACACAACCGCCATTAGCGGGGGGCGGTATT